AAAAATTTTTTTTTATTTATATTTATAATTAAATGTAGAAAATTTAATCTAGAATATGTTTTATAAAACATGTATACAAATATAATAATTTAAAAAATATAGTAAAATATACATATTTAAATATATATCATTGAATAATATATAATGACTTTCTTAATACTTATATTTATTGTATGCAAAAGATTATTATTCTATATTCATTTATTTTAGATTATTACTCGATATTTATTTAGAAAATTATTATTTAACTTAATTTAACACGATATAAATGAATTATTTTAGTGTAGTAATATACTTATTTTAAAATGCTTATTTTACTTAATACAAACATAAATTTTATTTGTTTTGATGTACTTAGGTTTTTACATAATAATACCCATAAGAAAAATATCCAGTCAGTAAATATATTTACAATATTGTATACTAGTGACAGAATTGAGTATAATGGTTTATAAAAGTAAAAATACGTTCAAATAGTTTTGAGATATTAAATAAATAATAATATAAATAAATAAATAAATTTATATTTTAGTTAAATTAATTTAAAATTTAATTTAATTTAGACAAATAATTATATTTTATATATAAATTTACATTTATTATAAAAATATTCTTCATATAATTAAAATTTCTAGATTTAGGAATTTGGATAATAATAAATAATAATTCAATTATAAGTTATATATTTCAAACTGATATATATTTTATTTAATGGAGTTTTATTATATACATAAAATAAAAACTTCTATAAAAAGGAGAAAAACATATATTTTTTTATAATATATAATTCATACTTAGAGGTTATTACTATTGTATTTACAAATATAGCTTCTGACTTAAAATTAAACTTATTACTTTTGACATGCAAATTATAAAACTGTTAAAAGATAAAATTTGTTTTTCTGAATTTATTTGTGTATATGTTATTTCGAAATAACATTTTTATCAATTTTAATACATTTTAATAATAATTTTTAGTAATAAAAAAATCAAATCTATAAACAATTCATTGTGTAATATTTTAAATTTTGCAAAAATTCAATATAATTTACCATAATAAATATTGATATTATTAATAAATTTTAATTATCGATTATATTGATATTACTAATCAATGAAAGTAACTCTAAGAAAAAGCTAAATAATTACTATTAGTAAATCCAATTTTGCATATCAATATAATTATTATTTATAAGGATTAGTAAAAGTTACATGAATGTGCGAATATTTATGTGCGAGACAAAATATTTTTCATACATTTTTTTTTTTATAATTATTATTTGTTTTTAGAATAAATCGGATATTGTTTATATTTATTGCTTTCTCTCAAATCTTAAAAAATTCAAGTTTTAAAATTTACCATTATAAGATTTAAAATTCTTTAATGATAATTCATATAAAAACTTTATTAAAAGTGTAAAATATGAATAAATAGTATTACTTATTTATTATATATTAAATCACGTGCACTAATGCATATGAATGAGTGAAAGCATGAAATATATATTTAAAAATGTTTATAAAATATTAAATAAAGTATATTTTATAAAACATATATAGAATTTGAATCTATAATTCGTCCAACGAGTTAAGTCAAAAACTGTAAGTACATAATCACCATATAAGTGAAATGAATTGAATTTACGGCTTTAAAATACTTGCTATAAAATATATTTTTTGAGTATTAATATATTTATTATATTGCAGAATTATTTTTTGATAATGTATAAATATAAATTCACAAAATAGTTTTTGAAATAAAATTTTACAATATATAGTTAGTTTTCATGAAAATAGATTTGTCTAGCCTATTTAGCGCTTTCGAAATGCAACATTTATTACGTGATTTACACATTTACACGTAAATCGTTGAACGAAATATAGATTTTTACTTTTTGAATTTGTCTATCTAGTTAAACTATTCAGATATATAAAATGAAATTTATTGTTCATGCTTAAACATTTTCATTTCTGTAGAAAATGTTTTATTATATTTTTTTTAAGTAAGAAAAAATTAATATTTCTATTTTCATATATATATATAAAATTAATAAATTTTATATAAAGATGAATTGTGATTTATATGAAAAAATATTTGATGAAAATAAATAAAAGAAATTATGATTTAAAATTAGCTATAACAATAACTAAGTGTTTCTAGCAGATATTTTCTATACAAAATGGATAAATATTTATAGATAAAAAATTTAAAATATTAATATTATTAAAATATTTAAATTTAACAAAGTATTGATAAATAAAATAGAGAATATTAGTTTTTGATTTACAAGCTGAGACTTAATTATGATCAAGATATGATTTTATATGAATATAAAATTTATTTATACAATAAAATAACTGCTTTACTTTAGGAAGTAGCAGAAGCATTTGAAAACTGTATTTCACGACTAGTTGCATGAAAAGCTTCCATCATAATGTTTCGTGTTATTTCCATTAAATGTTCAGTATCATCTGTTTTTAATCCTTTTGTAGATATTGGTGGTAATGTTGTTATAATAACACGACCTTAAGATTATTAGTTCTAATTAATATTTATTATTAGTTTATTATTAATCTAATTAATATTTATTAGTTTACTAAGTTTACTAGTTTATTATTTAAATTATTCATTTATATGACAAAAACTTACCAGGATCAAATTTTTTTTCTTCAGAAGATAAAAAATAATAAGAGGAAAATACAACTGGTAATATAGGTAATTGAAAACGTATAGCAACATGAAAAGCACCTTTTTTAAATGGATAAATTTTACCAGTATTGCGTCTAGTTCCTTCAGGAAATATCCATAATTTTATCTATATAAAAGATATATAATAGTAGAAGAAATAAATATATACAGCACCATAAATTATTTATATACATATTATATATATATTTTTTGAATTTTTGCATCATAAATTGAATTTTTTTACCTTTTTTTCTTTAATATAATTTGTAGCATTATTAATAACTGAATGAGCTTTTTCTGAATTCATTCTATCTATAAATATCATTCCACAAAACCAAGCGGCTAAACCAAATGGCCATGCATATAAAATTTCTTTTTTTCCTACAGCTGTACACTTTCCCATTATTGGCCATATATTGAACATTCCCAATACATCTAAAGAACTTTGATGATTTGCTACTATTATACATGCTCTTTCTTGTTCTAAATGTTCTTTCCCCCTTAATTCCCAATGTACTCCTAAGAATTTAGTAAGCCAAGAACACATAAGTGATCCTAATCTAAAATTATATTTTATATGTTATTTACAATTAATAAAGTATTATTAATTAATATAAATAAAATAAATTATTATAATAGTGACAAAATTATTGACAAATGGTGGATTATTTTTTAATTTGTATAAGATATGATATATAATTTTCATAAGTCATTTTTTAATTATTCTTTTTTTATATATTATTAATTATTTGCTATATACTACATACATTGAATAAAAAATAACAAAATATATAAAAATTATATATAAAATAAATCATATATTAAAATAAAACTTAAATATAATAATTAAAATATGTACTTAAATAATAATTATATGTTATTTTAATTGAAATATAAATATCTAAATACTAAAAATTACATATGTATGTTTTATATATGTAAGCTTTTTAAATTTTTTTTTATATTTTTATTTTTTTTTAAATTTTTGTTAGAT